GTAGAAAAGCAATCTGTTTACTATTAATAAAAACTCATTTATTTCCATTGTAATTAAACCATGCCTTTGTTGCAACTGCTACATAATAAATATTTTCCAAGGCACAAATTCATACAAAAAGTTTATTTGAAAAAAATCTATGCTGTGTGTGTGCGCGCATTGTGTGTGAGAATTAATCTGCTACGCGGTAACTTAAAACGCCCAGAGTTGATAGAGGACCTCGGGACCACTGATTGGCTGCGTTGAATCAGCCGTAAGCCTTTAAAGCCGAATAGGGAACTCTTGTCCAACTTATAAACTAGAAAATCTAATCAGGAGGTAGGGAACTGGATCTCTTGATAAGTGTTAGGAGGCCAAGTCGCATATTTCTGGGTCACCTGATCTCTGGGGCACTATAATTTAGATTTCGCACTCACGGCAGGATATGTAATTGCATCGCTTGTTACTACTGTTTCAATTGTTTTATAACCAGTCACCCAATCATCTCCCACGTATTCGATGCTATGCAGGCAAGAGGTATTTTGCCAAAAAGTCTTTTCCATTAGTTTTAGTATCTAAGGTATTTTTTTGAAAGCGGTTTCTTGAGAGAACCTTCTTCAAAGTTTATAAATAGTTGCAAGATTGCATTGCAATGGGGTAATAGTCTTGCACTGTCGACGGGACCAGGGGCAAATATCAATAATGGCTTCTAGCTCCTAATTATTAGCTGATTAAACTCCTATGATAAGAGTGAATAAGCAAAAAATCCCTGTTCCCCAAACCCAAAAACTGTTCATTTTCTTATCTGAATAGTGCAATGTATGCTATCTTTATAATTGAATGCGTGAAGTGATAAATTAATCGGTTGAATTGATAAGAAATTGATGTGAGGAAGAAGAAGTATTGGATGAACTGAGGGGACCCCAGTATTTAAAAATCGATAAGCAACTTAATGAGTAATTAACTATGAGCATACTGTTTAGTCGTTGCATCGGAGAGGAGTTCTGAACCTCCAAGGAGATTAACAACTTTCTGTTAAGATTAGGTGAAAAAGGCTCTAGGTGAGCCAAGGATTAGAGGCACCTGGTGGCGAAATTCCAATCGCGTGAAATCAGCTGATCATAAAGCAAGCGTGACCTTAGGATATTGTGCATCCTTTCCAGAATCGGTACGCACACAAGCGTACGTCCGCACACGTCGTCAAGACAACCGGGTGCGAAAATTCGTATTTACGCATGTTTATAAATCCCTTCTTTTCGTCTCGCACGTGCTCCTCACATTAGCAGCATCAATCGATTTATTTGTTTAGCGTCAGCATATATTGAGATAGTTAGAGGGGTGGAATTTGTTGCCAAATTCATAATCGATTGCACTTTCATTTCTTTCAAATCAATAACTGTCGGTGACTAAACAAACATTAAGCCAGAATTGCTCAAATATGAAAGTTGTAACTCCCGTTCAAGGTCATGTGATGGTGTAAGAACGGCATCCAAATGAGTACTTTATATCAAATCCCTTCCCTGCCAAATACTAAACAAAAAAACACTAATTTCTTAAAATAGAAGAAAATATGCGTCCATCTATTTCAGTAATCCACAGGTTTATTGACGTATTTGAATGGTATAACTTAATTAGCTTACTTTTTAATTGGATTGATAACACAACATTTGGTTTGCTTGTTAAAGTACCTTTCATTTTAAACGAGTTATCGATCCAATATCATCTGAGTAGAGCAATGATATCAGATCACATATTGTAAATCTGGGCAGTTAGAATTGTCTACTCACATAGTAATTTAGCATACAAAGCTTGGCTGGCATTTTCAAAAGCGTTCCAGAATCTCAAAACAAATTACTTTGGCCAGAAAGGAACGGATTTTTGGCAAATATTGCGGAATCGACTTCAGTTAGCTGAGATGTTCTATACCCCCTTTGTTGCTTACTATCATACGTAAAGGATCGATGACTCACTCAACTAAAGCCCAAAATTCAACAGTTTGCAGTCAGCTGCAATTTTAAGATTATTTTATCGATAAATTTTTTTGGACATGACCATATCACGAGAATAGATGACAGTGACTAACTTAATATTGTTGGTTCAAGGTCATTACTAATTTTTTTCAAAAATAGTTGACTTTTATGTACAAAAAATAGAGAACCTACTTATTATCTCTAGTAATACACTTTTTTCTAGGTGAAAACAAAAATCAAAATGAAAATTGAAATACCTCAGACTTGCTAATTCAAAGTTCTATCGATACCTTGGAAACACTAATAACAAGTATCTACAGGATAATATGATTTTATTACCTTATTGACAGCAATAATTCCCAAACCAATTAAGGAGAACGTTTTCCTCGATAATCAATGAGAAACAGTGGTCTATGTGGTAATTAATTTAATCTACTAAATATACGCCTTCATGCACATCAAATACTTTTAGCTAAGGTCAGTCACGTCAGAAATCGAGAGTAAACATTCCAGAGGTCAGTGTTGGTGTGCCTGCAAACTTGGCATGTCCAACCGCACAGTGCGTACGCGCATTTGCAGTGGGGTGGGGGGGGGGGGGGGGGGGGGGGGGGGGNGGGGGGGGTAGTTTACATGATGCCCTGGCGATTGGCGAACGGGAATAAACCTAAGCTGCAGTTCTTTCAGTTTGACGGTGGTTAATTGATCAATAGAGAGTGTAATGGAAGTGAAGTCAACATTTGTAATACGTTTCGTGATCACTAATGCAGTCGGTATTAACAAGTTATATTAGGTGTTCCTACAGATTCAGAAACCACGACTGAAGCAACATTTTTGCATCGAAAAATGTTCTTGCTTTTAAATTTGATTTGCTAGTTGTGCAAAATAGTCAAGTCAAGTCAAACCAAACAATCAAGCTAACCCAGCAAGAAGTGCCAATTGTGCATCAGCTGGAAGTGCAGAATAAATTAGTGCATCCGAAGAAGAAGAACAAGAAAAAGAAGAGGAAGAAGAAGCATCCTGGCGCTCCTCTGACAGAGAATCCGTAAATGTAAAAATGTAGCCCGATCATTATTTAATATCTGATTATGGTTTAATAGAATTCTGGCCTCTAAACTACCAAGTGAACACAAGGCAACCTCACATAATAAAAGGAGACCTTATCTAAGGTCCAAGCTGATCTTGTGAATTAATTACTTTCATTAATTAAATTTAACTACACTGAAAGTCATTTGTGGATTGTGGTGAAAGATATTGGGTAATGCCCGGAGGGTGAATCTAAGGTCAGAACACAAATGCTTGATCATGACTAAGTCATCGAGTCCGAATAGAGGAAATTGATTAGATGCTCAAAGGAATGTAAAATCGGAGATCGTAAAACTGAAATATCTCTGCTAAGGTGACGAGAAGTCATCGGAAGTCGAGTATCGATTTGTTTCCTTCTCTTTCAAACCGCAAACATACTTCACAAGTCAATTACTAAAAGCTGTTTGAAATTCTTAATTATTGACTAGAGCTTAGGTACAATTCCTAAAATGTTCGTTCAAAGTAAGGGAGGAAACTTATAGAATAAATAACTGAATGTTTTCCATCTTTCGTCTTTTTGCCGGTTTATCGATTATTAGTTTTCCATGTTCTTGCGTATTGAGGAAATTTTAACTTTTCTGCATTGTTCTCTAACCTGGTGCCCAGTAAGTTAATCGCTATATATCTCAACCGATACTAATCAATACGTTTTCACAGCAAATATCTGTTACGTTAGATAATACGAGTCACTTCCGGTTAGCATAGCTCCCGAAATAATAGAGACAAATTGTAAAGGGGTGGAAGAATGGCAAATGCATGACCCTCTACACAGAATCTGCGTTAGTTATCAATTTCTTCGCCACGTTGGAAGTCAAGTAAGATTTTTTTAAAGGAAAGTTGGTCGAAAAGTGGTTTAGTGGGGAATGAGTTTGGAAACGAATACGAAGAACTTGAGTTATTGCAATAATGCTCGATTAACCATGGGGGTATTAGCTCACTGTTAACACACGTTTTCAAACACTTGGGATTTGAAATGATATCGCCTTTTATTTCGGATGAAAACAAAATCGGTAGTTTTCACGATGCTAAGTTCTTTTTTAAATGAATTTGTAGAAGTTTTTACAAAATGATTATTTGAAGTTATGTGTCATAGTGCGTCATGAAGTAATGTGATTAAGTGCGTGCTCTAAATATTCACGATTTAACTTTACTTTCTACTTATTTTATTTCGGTAGCGAGACTAATAAAGAATGCAGTTTTAAGTGGAAGTAGTGAGAATTGTTAATACCCAAATTCACACAGCTTTAATTTACTCAAAATTCAGCAAGTCAGTCTTGTAGTTTGGAAAATGTGGAAGCGATTTCTACTAAATCGTGCTTCTAGCAGGTGCAATATTTAAATCGGGAATTAATGGAAAACTATTTTTTAGAATTCAATAGCTTTAGGTCTAAATAAATTCGCATTGCTTTGTCTTTGATGAATAATTCCACAGGTATACCGAGTCAGGGTTTATGAGTTAAAAAACTGTGATGGCAAATACAAGAAAATGAACTTCGATCCTATGTATGGTTCTTCAACGCCAGCATAAATGGGAAACGATTGATCTCCATTAGGTTGTTGGAAATAGCGTATAGTCATATCTTTCAAGCTTCTAGAACGAAAGCCTTGTTACTAAATGGACCACAATTATGGGGTCTATATATCACTTCGAGTTTTTGTGGGCATTACAAACCCCTATTTAAATTCATTTTTAATTCCAAAAACCTATCTATTTGACACCACCTTAATTAGTAATCTTATAAAGGGCACAAAGTTTGTCACTCTTCTCACTCCGTTAAGGAGTCTATTTCCATAAGTCCAATTCGATTTAACTTAAGAGATGAGAGTGATGACGAAACGATTACCTTCGATGGACACGTTGAGCAAAATTCCACTTACAACAAGTAAAGGAAACTAAAAGCAGAATAGCGAGAAATTAAAATGTAATAGTAAAAATATGTACATATATACATGTATCGCAGAATAGTTTTAATCACAATTATCCGTTTTCAAGCGTTTTGGAGGAGGGGAATCATCCGAGTTAGACGGTACTTCAACTTTCGACAAGACCTCCTCAATAAGTGGCTGTTTAGATTTTGGAAATTCACTCTCAATAAACTCAGGAGAAAGCAAAGCGTTTACCAAGACAGATAAGCGAGGATCGAGATAACTGTCCTGGTTATTGTCAGAAACAAGAAGTGGTGGCGTTTGATTCCCACAAGCTTCATTCGAATTATTGTCACTTCCAAATTCTTCATCAGAAATACTACATCCATTATCGTCATGAATCAAATCATCAGAGGAGTCGATTTCCTCGACCATAGGACCGTATGTGTGCTCTTTTATAGATTCGACGTCGCTATCAGATGAAGTAGATGAACTGTCACTGCTTTCATCGTCGGATAGGTTTTCAAGTGGCAACTGCAGGCCGTTATCTCCTTGTGATTTGGGAAGAAATATATCCTAAAATAACAAAACACTGAGTAATAACCAGACCATTTTTGGTAGTTTCAAAGAGCACGGGGTTTGCTTACCAGCTCTATTTGACGGTCACCATCATTTGGATTTTCAAAATCTGTAGGAGGTTCGGCTTTTTCAGTGCTTTCCAAAAAAGTTTTAACACGATTACGAACTAAATATGAATTATTTTCTTAAAAACCTACGTAATTGAGTCTTAGTCAGGTCCGGTGGAGGCTTTTTGCCGACAAATTTTAAGTCAGAGAGTTTCATTATAAGAACCGTGTGGCCGAATCAACTATTCGCAACATCATACATCTACTCTAAACAACTTTTCCTTTCAAATTTGAAAAAAAACAAAATTTTATTTTTTTTATTAAAAAATTTAAATTCAATATATTTTACACTTTTCACTTTATTATGCGTTGAAATATTCTACCGCCTCCTTTCTTGCCCACCTTCTCGACATTCGGAATGTCCGTTTCTAGCGGCAACTCAGTAAATGCAGTGTATCCTAGCTTACAGAACGAGTCTCACTCCAGTAATTATTTTTTCAATTATTTTACAATGTTTATTGCTAAATTATTTTAGTTTATTTGGTTTAACCATTGATTTATGTATATTACATTGAATATAGCCTGGGTTTTGCAGTCATATTCGCTCTTCGCGTATCTTGTCATTGATAATATCTATTATATTTTGCGTTTTTATCTAGCTGGTGCCTCTTCTATAAAGAATTCAAAGAATCTTGGAAACAATGGTTCACTGGATCTTCCGGGAAAGATTGAGAACTTCAAAGCATGGAGTTCCACGGCCATGAAGTGTACTAAACAGGCTATCGAAGAGAAACTTGGTACAACGTCTCCAACTCGAGATCCCGAGATGGATGGCAAAATTGATGAAGTCAAGTTAGTTGATTGCTTCATTACTCCATATTTCTACTTTTATGCTTTCCTCTTTGCATTTATACTCGATTATTTATTAAAAAATACATTTATACTATTTCACTTCCTCATTTAGATTTTATAATCCGGTAGATTTTGCAATTCCCTGAATTTTTCTATTCACTTCATAAGCTAAGATGTTTATTTGTTGTAATAAAATTGTCACCCTAAGATTCTAATACCTACATTATTTTTTTTTCTAGAATTTGAAATATATTTTACATTTTATTTCCCCATATTCCATTTTTGCTAGACACTTTTCATATTTCAGTTATGCCAGTAACTAAAAATATTGCTAAGCCTTATAAGGTAGTGCTCATTTTATCAATAATCTTTGGACATGTTAGCAGCGCCTTTGATTGCACTTTCTAAGCAATATTTAATCATTTTCTTTCACTTGTTGCTTATTAATCAGTATTCTTCCCGTGATCTCTGACTCTATACGTGGTAGTTAATCGTTATACTGCCATTAGGGTTCTTGATATGTCTATAAGTGGAAATAAAATGGATATTTTTTCCAACTTACTTGTGTTTGCGTAACACTAGAAAAGGGGGGGGGTAAATATTGTATCCAAGTTCCTTTTAACCATGGATATCATGCTACTTATGTAAATCCATTCTAAATGGATAAGATATGTTCAAGAATTAAGTAATATTGTCCAAATTCACCTCCATTTTCTAATGCTACTGCTGGTAGTCTAGGTAACGATTGTTGTCGTTTAACATAATCCTCTGTTTACAAGAAATTGTCTTATCCTGCTGTTCGTCTTATTTCCTCACTAGGTCAATGAGATTCAAGAAACAAGCTGTTTTATTTAGTTCTTTGATTTTTGCTTCCATCACCCACATAAGTACTTCATAGTTTCAGCTTTGATCACGTTTGACTCAACCTCATAGTTGGTAATAGTTGCACAGGTTGATCTACTGTAATAATTTGTGATTAGACATAGCCTGCAATAAAAGCGATTCTATTTATTGCTTTTTTTATTTGAACGTTCAATGTAGAAAACCCGACCGTAACTTCTTTGGCAGACGCCTCAGACAATTCATCTGTCGTTTCAAAGGGCAAAAAATATTTTTTATCCATCCGATATTATTTCGTTGCAAAGAATGAGTTTATGAATTTGCTGTTCTTCATTCCATCTCATAATGAAAAAAATCGAAGTTAATCAAAATTACTTCCTTATAACTAAAGTTAATGTTACTCGCAGTTCTTATTAACAGGCTTGTATTATTGCTACTATTATCCACAATAATAAAAATAAATGAGAAATTTTAATTGTGGGTGGGGGGGGGGAATTGAAGCCGGCCAAGAGAAAATCCAACAGATGGTTATGTGCGGAGGCAAAGTTGATTTATCAAGGTGTCGTAATAATAAAATCGCCCATGCAATACTAACCTATGTATTTAGGCGACAAGTGTGGTATGAACGATCTGGCTCACTTTTATTGGTCGGCTTGGAAAAAGTTGCCCGTGAATACCTATCTTTGAGGTCTGACTCACATCAGTTTCGAGACAGTCTGAATATTGTACCATTTAAAACTTTTCACAGTTTAAAATGGTTGTGACTCTGCCCACAAATCGATACTTGTCTTTATCTTTATATACTACTCTCCCTTTTGTAATCCCCAGCTTACTCTTGAAGGTATATCTTAATCATTGAAACGGTATCTGGTTTAATTGTTTATCTTTCGGAATGACTTTCTGACTTTATAGTCACTAATCTTGATGAAATCTTTTTAGCTATATATATGGTTATTGTCTCAGGGCTTTTTGGGAGAAGATAATTTTGCTGATCTCAGATTTTAACTCGGTTGATGAATATTAATGGAAGCGAGTATTTATACTTATTTCAAGAGAAAGTAACTTTTATCGACTTTGGATCTGAAGTTGAGATTATTTTGGTTTCATTCCTTCATTCCTGTCAAAGCTTGCCACTTGTAAAGTCCTCCATTGTGATTAAGGCTCGTTTTACTTACAATTGTAGGCCACTTCAACTGGATTTTTGTCTTCATAATTTAAATTTATTAACATTTTTGCAATCGTGCATCTACTGAACCAGGTCTAATTAATTTGATATCTCAAGAAATAGTGTAAGAAATGTTGATATAAATATTTGTCAGTGGAACCGATCTTACCTGCTTAACACTAGTGCAATTAACTTACATGAGCCTAGATTTAGAATTAATACAAATTGAATTATTGGCCATTGGTTGAACGTGCACCACTTAATACGCTATCGGAAGTTGTGGTTCCAATTTTTAAGCTGTTTAGGAATCGTCGATATGACTCATTGGCTTCCCCTATTTTCTCTTTAAAAACCTTTAATTCTGATGCTTCTGAAAAGGTAGAAAAAATGATTTTGTGTGTTGCTATCACGCGTCTAGTCATCCAGTAAGCAGTACTCACACGCAAACGTCTTTCAAAGCAGAGGTCATGAGTTTGATACACGCCGATATGCATTCATGTTAAAGCTCATTTGAAGATGGTTGCAAGAAGTGCAAATTTGTCATTACAGAAGCTCCAGAATGAACGGTTTCAGTAAGAATAAATATTGGTCGAAAAACAACAGTTGGAAGAGGAGGAGGGCGAGGGGTGGGAGGCGCTTGGATATTGAGAAAAAAATGCAATACGAAAAATATCTGCCTAATTACATCAGTAGTAGATAGAATACATATAACTTCTGGGTTATAGGTCTTTTAACTTTTGAACAATTCAATCTTTGTTCCTCCCGGGAACGCGTGTATGTTTTCACATCGACAGCAACTCGATGCTCTATGCTCACTGAATTTTGTCAATCAAACGTACATGTCTAGAATGTAGTCGCCTAGATGCATAAAATATTGCGGTTTATTATTTGTTTCTTATTGTTCATCTTTGAAAGGCTTACTTATTGGATTTTTCTGTCCATTAAATAAATAGAGGCTCAAATCAACAAATCTAGTTTTAATCCCAGGCAGTTCTTTGAATCCACGAGCCACACCCCCCCCCCTCCTCCTACTCTCAAAAGAGTCCAAGAGTATAGTTCAATCCAGAAAGTATCGCCCGAAATGCGATAGTTGCCTCCTTGTATTGCTTGCCAGTTTAAGTTCTGGTTTTATTGCATCTTGCTCGGAAGCTTAAATTCCAGGACATAAACTGTGTCTTACCTTAAGTTAGGCTATTTCGACGTGACAGGCTTAAAAATTTTCGGACATTTTCGGGTAAAACACCAGCGTTAAGTTTCGGTTCTACTTTGCCTTAGTATTCTAAGATTTGGCTTTTTATACCATTTCAAATTGCTTGCTATTTTTTATAAGAAATACTTACTTTATCTCTGCCATACTATTACTCAGGAGTCAAAGATAAATTTCTTGTACATTTTTTGGTATTGTACTTTGAATTAAACAAGTTGGCAAAAAATGTTATTTCAACACATTTGTTCCAAACAAAAGTGCTTATCCGCTTAGTTGGGAGGTGGATGTGTTCGATATTGCTTTGAAGCCTATCTAGCTTGAAAATTTGTACTACTTTCCTCTGTTTATTGTAAATTATTTAATTGTATCAGCGCACAAATGGAAATTGAGAGCATTCAACCCTTTGTGTTTTTACAAAGGAGAAGGAGGGGGGGGGGGAGCTGGAATATGCTTTTTTCTCGCTTTACTTTTATTAAGAATTTTAGTCCCTCCCCACCCCCCCCCCCCTCCCAACTATTATCTTAATTTCCCAGCTGCTTTTTTAACTAAACTTAGGGATGATTGTCATCTTTTTCATTCATTTTGAGTTCACGCTAACCAACACGTTTTCGTCTCCTGTCAATAAATTTATGAAATTATAGTTTGTTTCTATTTCTATTATTATTTAAAAATAAAGCGTAAGGGGAAATAACGTTCGGCAAAGACCATTTCTGTATTACTATTGCTGTCTCTTGTTTGAACGCTCTCAAATTCCCGTAACATGGTCAACAGCCGTGAAATTATTTCCAAACTCAAAGCTGTTCAATCGAAAGATGAAGCGATTTTCCGCCGGTCGAATGGGGAATGTCACGTGGCTCTTTTCATTGTGCCAGTACTTGAAAGCTAAGCCTTTTAGCGCCCAATCTGTAGACTGTTTATGTCTTTAAATAAATACACTTCTTATCATAAATAATTTCCATGCCCATTTAGGATATCATTTTATATTGACCATCTTAGGTAGAGATTGATGTCACGACTACTCCCAAATGAGTGTCGCGAATCCTCTCACCTTTTGTACATATTAACCAGACTTAACCAGCATGGTTTTATTCGACCGATATATTCTTTTGTGTCTCATATTTCTTTTTGTCTTATTAAAGTTTTTATTGGCTTCATTGTAGAAAGGAATTTGCCGTTTGAAGAACAGGTTTCCTGCTTTTGATAAAATATGGTTTCAATGGTACTAGCTTACCAGGGAGTGTATAGCTCTAGGAAGTAGTGTGTAAGAACTTGGAAGATTTTGCCTATGAAAGAAAGGATGTTAATGTATCTTAAACTCCAACTGGTACCTCTACTCTTAAGAGTTTAACATTTTAAAATACTTTGAAAAATTAAACGGTTTCCTTTGAAGGTCATTGAATGTCACTTGCACTTTCAACATTGGTTGGCTGAGTTATTCGAGTTCGTTTTTACTACCTGCGGGTGCCAACTATATCAACCTACTGCTTTGTAACTAAAAATGGAAGTGATAAGCTAATTTGGAAAAGATTGTGAAATGCCATATAATGTTGGTTTGCAAGCGGCAGCAATACGAAGCACCTAGGAATTTAAAATTCCTTTTAATTTCATTTTATAAATGGCAATACTTTATCGTGTTTATCATAGGGTAAAATTTTAGATCTCTATAATTTAAGACGTTTGCGGTTTTTATAGGCTGCTTGACTTGTTATAATTAAATTGTTACGCAATCTAGCAATTTTCATTTCCACAAGTGAAAAATGGCGATTTGCAACTAATTTACTCCTTAAG